AAATTTGGACCCATACTCGGTCATTGAGCAGTGGATCTTCTTTTTGCCAGCACCAACTTCGACACAGCAGCTAGATTAATAGGACTGGGTACGGTGGGATTCGAAATTCGAACCCGCGATGTCAAGTTACTCCTTACTCCTCGATTATATAGAGCAAACGCTCTAACCACTGCTTTTCATGGGCGACCGATCATAGGCTCCATGTTCACTTATAGATAAGTTCGGAGCATTATAAAGATTGTACACTCTAGAAAAGTTTTACTTGTTGTTTTTAAAATAAGATATTAGATTAAGAAAAACTAGTAACTATTAGTAATCCATTTAGTCAAAATAGCAAGTAAATGATTATCATGGTTAGTAATTGTAAACATAATTAGTAATAAGGATGAATTCATTTCCATATAAAATGATTTACTAAGTATCAATACTTAATAGGAATTATATTACTTAGTAAATGAACTACTCATTTTTAGTAAATTATTATTACTTAATTTAGAGATAATATGCTTTCTATTTACTAGATTTTATGAATTATTACTAAGTAAATGTAATTCTGAAATTAATTAAAATGTAGAATATTATTACTTAAGAGTAAACGAAATACTTATCATATTTACTAAAATCGACATTATTTACTAGAAAAACTGAAAAAAAAAATAGAATAGCAACATATACAATGTATGTAAGTATGAAAACCCTATCCCTTATCGTTCAAAAGTAATGGCCAAGGTTAAAGTTTTTTCAAAAGTATTGAAATCTCCAAGGTCAAGATCAAATGGTCATGGTTGTTGGTATCCAATGAAAGGTCTTTTAACAAAGAATATATATGTGAAGTATTAATGTCCTGGTATTTACTGTTAAAAAGATATGGCTCAAGAAAAAGTTTGGAATTTTTGTGTAAAAGTGGGTCAAACTCCAAGGTCAAGTTCAAAAGGTCAAATTTGGCGATACTCAAAGAAAGGTCTTGTCAAAAGGAATGGATATGTTAAATATGCAAGTCATAGCTCCGCTAAATCAAAAGTTATGGGCAAGGTTAAAGTTTTTGCGGACAAACAGACAAACAGAGAGACAGACAGACAGACACGACAAAAACTATATACCCCCGAAATTTCGTTTACGGGGGCTAAAAAATATTAGTTATATAGTAAATAGTGGTAAAATGTAAGTAAAGATCAAGAAATGTTATTACTTATATACACAAATTTAAGTAAATATAAATTACTAAGTAAAACTTTTTAGTGTGTAAGTAAAACAATTCTTTAAAATACAAAAATCAAGTAAAACATTTGAATTAAGTAATTGACATATATATTTCAGTAATTGATTTAAAATTTTAAGTAAATGCTTAGTAATGACTACTAAGTAAAACTTTTTATGAGTTTAAGAATTTTGTGCAATTTAAAAGAAATGAATTAATTTTCTTCGACATGATTTCGGTCGAATCAAAATCTATATATTTCATTGCTCTCTGTTCATAGATGAAAAATAAAGTTCTTTGATATCCCTTGCAATGAATTCAGAAAGTTTAAGCTTAAAATTTCGTCTTGAAATTAATAGATAAGTGAAATGACAAAGATGTGCAGTTGAACACTAGAAAATGTCTATAAAATTTTCATTCATACTGAATCTTAAACTCTAACTGTATAGATACGAGGGTTGATCCAAAAGTTCCTGGAATTTCTTTTCTTTATACCGGTATTTTATTTATTTTTAAGTGAAATTGGTTGAAAATTTCAAATGAGAATATAGACCTTTGTTGAATATATTAAATCAAAAAACATTTTGCAAATTTATTATAGTGACTCTTTGGCAGTTGCCATATAGTGACTCTTTGGCAGTTGCCATAGAAACGGTTGTTTGGAAATGCCGGGGAAGACATTTATGCGTTTAGTTTCATTTTAATTCTTAATAAGTGAAATGAGAATAAAACCGTCCTATGTGGTAAATTAAACGAAAATTATGTTATTATTACGATTTTTTGATCTTTTATAAAGCTTTGTGTGAGTTTTACTGATTTTACTGGATATTTAGTTTATTAATTGATGATTTATTGTTCATCTTTTACGACTTTTCAACTTTATACACAAGAATTCCCCACGACAAATTAAAATCCAGGCTTTTTGATAATCAACAGCTTAAAAACTTACGACTTTTCAACTTTATACACAACCATTCCCCACGATAAATTAAAGTCCAGGCTTTTTGATATCATTGACAGCTGCTTCTTCAATAAAAATGGAACTCGTAAATTTACTTACCTCGTCATAGGTCATTTGCAAAATTATTTTGTTAAAAAAGATTCTGATTGTTCACATAAGTACTCTGAAGTTGACATCAAGAAGATGCTTGATTGAGTTTCTGATTGACAATATCTATGTGGTTTTTGGAGACCAGGTATTCCAACAATCTATTGGAATTTCCATGGGTACAAATTGCGCTCCGTTATTAGCAGACTTATTTTTATATTCATATGAAGCAGAATTTATGCAAAATCTTATGCGTGAAAAGAAGAATACACTTGCTGTGGCCTTCAACTCGACATTTAGATATATCGACGACGTATTGTCAATTAACAATGGTAATTTCCATTCCTACATCGATACGATATATCCTGGTGAGCTTGAGATAAAAGATACCACAGAGTCCGACACTTCTGTTTCATACTTGGATATTTTGCTTGAAAAAGACACTAATAGTAATCTAACAACCAAGCTATATAATAAACGTGATGAATTTAACTTTTCTATCATCAACTTCCCTTACTTATGCAGCAATATACATGTACCTTCATCACCTGCATACGAAATATATATATCTCAGTTGATTCGATACGCAAGAGCATGCTCTACGTATGAACAATTTTTAAAACGAGGCAAATTATTGACAAGCAAGATGACGAAACAAGAATATCAGCAGTCTCGTTTAAAGTCATCATTTCGTAAGTTCTATGGTCGATACAATGACCTTGTCAGCAAATACAATTTATTATTGAGAGTCAAATGCTGACTGAGTTTTTCATACCAATTGTTAGTCCATTATTTATACACTGAATTGACGACGGATTTTTTCTGCTATTTCCTGATCTTGACAAGGAGCACACGGCGGGTGTGAGCGGTCGACAGGGGATACTCACTCCTCCATGGCACCTGATCCAACCTCTGATGTTTCGGAGGTCCATATTTGCTCTGCTCCTATTTTGTATTGTTTAATGGACTTTGAGACTGAATACTATTCGTTATCTCCATATCCTTACTTTAAGTTGTTAGACAAAGTCATGTCCTAAGTTTTGTGAAAATCTCGGGATCACTCTATCTTGAACGCGTATATTATTGACATATGCTGGGGAGAAATGCATTTAGTTACTGGTTTTCCAGTTGAATAGGAAATTTAAGAAAAATAGACTTTCCATGGACGTTGATTAAAGGCGTGGCCGTTTTTAGGAGGCTCTATTCTAAGCGTTTATTCCCCTAGACAAATTAAAAGCGTCAATGGAGGTTGTCGGCTGACATACTGTTCTTGACATTGCTACAGAAACTGGAACATCATATGGAAATTAAGACGGGAAGTTTTTTTTAAATATGAGTGAAAAATGAAGATAAGTTGGACAGAGTTGCGAGAGGATACCCAGGCTTTTCTTGAGAAAAGAAAAGCAGAAAAGGACAGCTCTTTGTAAAAATACGTATTCAAATTGGACATAAGGGTGAGATGCTTCTAATTACCGTCTTCCTTGGAAGACGGTATTGTATAGTTGAAGTTTTTTTACAGTCTTCAGACTATTCACTTCCTCTCTTTTGTGTTTGGTAGAAAATGCATGATGAGAAAATTTTCAATTATTTCATTGGTTGAAATGCTGTTCAAGGCAAGGGAGATAACTTTCTGATGATCTAATTTTCGTACGACTTAACAATTTTGCAAGATTTTCAATCTTAAAAAAATGACAAAACGAACAACAAAATCAGCAGTAATTAATTTCTAATAACATGATTTTTTTGTATAGCAATAAATAAAAAGATATCTTTAATTTCATTATAAATAAAATTTGATTTCATTTGCTTGCAGGCTTTACAATTTGTTATTATTCTTTTCCCCTTTCTTGTTTGAAGAAGGGAATGGAATCCGCCGAGATTTGCCGAAAGCTCTCGGCCAGTTTACGGAGATGACCGAGCGAGAACCGTGGTAGGGCTAATGCCAGTAAAAAGCTAATGTAGAAATACAAAATCAAGAGATTCAAAAGAATTATACGGCCTGATAGGTGTAAATCAGTTTACTGTTTAAGATTGTTGCTAAAGACGGTAAGCTTTTTTAAAAAGCTCTACTTGTGTGACGTTACATATCAAACTTGACGTAACGTCGACGTCTGCCCCAGGTTTCACAACTATCCATTTTTAGAAAGCTCGTGTGACCTTATTGGTTACTGCAAAGTGATGAAATTTTTCAATATTGTCGCATTATGACTCTATATCATAATTATGCCTGTTGTTTGCTTTTATCAAATCACGATAAAATTTTAGATAGAAATTCCACGAACTTTTGGATCAATCCTCGTATAGTTAAAGATACTTAAATGCACCGAAAGAAATACATGTACCTAGTTAATTGACCAGTGTGCATCCTAAAGCGTTTGGCGTAATTAGTAATCATACTGTTTACTGGCTAAGACAGTGAGTTGTAGATATAGGTGTCACATGGTGCGGGGGTCGTACAGATACCTACTAACCTAGTGAAAGGAACTTATATACTAAATTTACTAATGTTATCTTGTAAATCTACCCAATACTCAGCAAAACTACTTTACCTTTTTTGGTCATAGTGAACGTAAATTTACAAGTCTTCCTTGTGACTAGTTTTTTTTTCAGTACAACCCATGCATATATGTCTAGTCATAGGGTTGAATTTGATCTTAAAATTATAATTATGATGTTAAAACAGAAAATTTATAAAGCGGCACGTTTTTGTAGATTGATTGGTAATGGTTAGTTGGTTAAATTATTCCAGCTTACCCATTTTACAGTAGGTATGACCGTTGACGACACACTTCTGTGGATTACCAGGACAATGAGCTGTACAGTCTGATCCATAGTAACCCTCAGAACAGTACGCCTTGTACGTTATCTGGATACTGAAACGACAGTAATTTGATATTTTTATAGTAAAAAATATTTTTTTTAAGTTTAGGTCTTATTGTGAGGATTGTTTAGTTGGTGTGAATAAAGAAAAAATTCTATCTTACAAAAAGGAATTTTTATCCGAGAAATAACTTGCTGCCAATTTCTTTTGTCGCCAGTTCTGTGAAAGTATGTTGTCTCCTATTTTTAGATTGTAGTCTAAGAACTCTGACTTGTAGATGAGTGGTGAGGAGGAGTGTTGTAAATCTACCACTGTCACTGATATCTTGTCCAGATAATTTTTCTAAGTTTATAAGATAACATTTATTGAATATAATTAATTAATTGTACAAAAATTCTTTAAAAAATATTCCAGTGTACATATTTGTGCAAAATAAAAGAAAAAGTGAGCAAGCTGACATACTCCACGCTCCCCAAAAATTCAAAGTGCTGAAAATCCCGGAAAAATAAAGGATTCGGAATTTCCCGGTAAACTGTTCATCGCTATATTCAAGATATTCCCAAAAATCTAAGTCGAAAAGTGCCGAAATTCCCAGAAAAATACAGGAATCAGAATTTCCTGGTAATATGCAAATCTATGATTGTGTCCTAAATATCTTGTTGTGAGATGTGTATTGTTTCATTATGTATATAATTAGTAACATTAAGTTTCTTGAACATTCCAGAGTGGTCAACATGTTTGGTCATTTTATCTAGAACATTCTTAAATTTTGTGTATGTCCAGATTGTTCCAGTAATATCATGTTTTAACAATTTCTAGAATATTCTAGATTTATATTACTGTATAAATACCCTGTCAATTCGATGCATAATAATACTTTGTCGTATAAGCACTATTGAGATATAAATGGGATATATTTTCACTGGGACATTGTGTGCAGCAACGGACACTCTGATGTATGTATTTTTAGATTCTTGCTAAGTTTGTACTTTATGTTTGATATATTTATTATATATTACTGTAAATAAATTATTGTTAAGTTTAAATTGTGTTATTGATCTTTGCTGGCATTTCGGGTAATTCTGACCCATAACAATCTGCAAAGTTTGACGAAATTCCGAGCAGCGGTTTATGAGGTAGAGCTGACTTTGTGAGGAGTTGCACTGACAAAAAAACAAAAACAACAGGACTGACTGACTGACACTGACGGACGGCTCAAAAACATTATCCCTCATGCAACTTGTTTCGTGGGGTATAATAAGATTTACCCATGAATCTATTTCTAAAAACTTTGGGTTTGTTGTATTCCCAACTTGAGAACCATAAAAGACGTCTTGTCGTCTCATGTCTAATGTTGTGGTAAAACTAGACACACAGGAATGACTACTGTCTCTGAAGTAATTAAAAATGAAATATTTAAAATCTGTGTGCAGATGTTGAGTATTATCAAAGTGAGAAAAGTCAAACATCACTTACTTAAGACATACGGTGAGTACAGGTTTACACAACTTGGTACATTTAGTACCGGTCACACCCTGACAACACCCTCCTTGAAGTTTATTACCGGGACTCTTCACTTCATCTACGTGCATGAAGAAATTTATCTTCCCTACTGACACCTGTAAAAGTAAAAATGAATAAAATAACGTGGAGTACATGTACATGCACATATTTAGTATTTTGAAAAGCGTAAAACGTATTTCATTTTTCCTTTTTGCATTTTATATTGCTACATTTTTAAATTTGATTTTAAGAAATCACTGTCTATTTTGTTGGATATGCCATGGCATCAACGATAGTTAAAAACATGGACAGGAACTATTGAAATTGACATGGGAGGTCTTTTGTATTTTAAGTCTATGATACAACATTTTTTAATCCAAATTTTTATTTTTATTTCACGATGAAATGGAAATATAAGGAATCACTGTCCTGTCTAGTATGTTAATAGGGTATACCAAGAACATCAACGACAGTTGGAAACGTGGGATAATTTATGCATAACGAGGTTCGCCAGTTATGCAAATTATCCCACCTTTCGAACTGCCCTGGCATACCCAACAAAATAGGCAGTGATTTTTTAAATAACCCTCTGAATTACTACATATACTTTTTTAAGCACTAGTGCATATATCTTTTGAATAAAGAAAATAAATAATTTACGCGGACAAAAAAATTGTAATTTGTCGTCAGACTTTGCTAAAGTGCATTTTTTAATCAACTGAGAATACTCTTCCTCAGTTTGTCTATAAAATAACTCAGAAGAATTCTCACGACAGCAGAATACCTCATTTCTCAAAACAAGTCATTATAAAAATTGATTCAAATATGAAAGAAACTGTAACGTATAAATGATTTCAGTGTTTTTAATAGGAGAAATGGCAGGAGTTTTAATATCTTGTCAAAAGTAAAGGGTCGTTAGAAACAACAGCAGTAGCTATATATGTACGTACCTTAGATAAAATAATCCATAGCAGCAATAAAAACAAAATATGCGTTTGTGCAGCCATAATTTACGTCGGATTGTTGATAAAATGTATTATCTAACTAAATAAAAACACTGTTTATTTTTGATAGGTCCATATCATACCCGGATAACAAAAAATCAACTGATAGATTGACACAAATCGACATATACTATGTAAATCATAAACTATATACGGTAGGAGTACTTTTGCGCGTGGTAGGCGAAGCACGTTATGCTAAAATTATCCCATGTTTCCCACTTTTGTTGATGTCCCTGGCATATTCTCCTAACTAGACAGTGATTCCTTATATTTTCATTTTTACTTGAAATAACAATCTCAAAATAAATAGAAATACCGTCTAAACTTCAACCACAATGTTATTTGTAAAAGTCAAAAAATTGTCGTGCGCCGACCACCGATATTTACCATCATTTAAGGTAGGATTCTTCTCATTTTTTTGTATTTAAAAATGAATGAAATTTTCACAGAATCAAGAGGACAATATCAGAAAGTGATGATATCACTGAAATTAAATTTGACCGTTTTATATTAGAGACAAGGTCAGGTCAAGGTCATTATCTTTTTTTCCTGGACATAAATAATAAAAAGTTACTGTTGCCAACTATGCAATCCCTGCATGTATTTCAAAAGATTGAATACATTTCTTTTTGCATAAAGAGATACTACCATAAAGGGCCTATAAGATGATATTGCTAAATTGACATAAATAATTAAGTAAATATTAGTTATTTTTATGTGCTTCCTATATCAAAATTTTTCTCATATTCATATATGGTAAAGTTGTTACATAGAGGTACAAAATGATACAAAAACAAAAATTTTGATCGTTTACATAGAGAGAAAAAATACTTTTTACGGATTTTTGGCTCAAATCTCTACTCATATTGGAAGCTTATAAAATCTTGATATATTTAGGAACTTTTGTCCCTTATTATTACTTAAACTTACATTTGAAAAGTTCTTCAAGGCTTTGATTGTGTAAAAATTATAAATAAATTCATTGTCTTATAATAATTTTGAGAGGCAAAAAAGAAGATATTTTATCATTCCGCCTAAAATATAGTCCCTGCTAGTTTTCAAGTTTTTCAAAGTTGTACAATTTTGATGAGGAAAGTAAAATATGGTCTATTAAATCACGTACACCTAAATATAGAAGGCATAAAAGCAAATGTATTTTAAGAATTTCATATAGTCAGAAACCAGAGAAGAATCCTAACTTAAATGCTGTTTCTATATGCATATGACATCACAGACCTATAATATTTTATCAGAATATCTAAAAGATGATTTTCCAACAGCATGCCAAAAATTATTAGTTTTGGTTGAAAAGTATTTGAAATATTCAAAAAGTCCGCGTTTTTTTTTTTTCTGGGACAACCCTCGTATTTGTTGTTTGTGACCTGTGATTAACTAGGTGTTTATCACTCTCAGAACAGAAATTCAAAGTTCTGATTTTTTGTACCTTATATCTAAAAATAGAACCAAGATATCAGTTGTATTCTTGCATGAAACCCAATACTTTTCGCACTTTTATGATAATGACTTACCCATTTTACAGTAGGTGTGACCGTTGACGACACACTTCTGTGGATTACCAGGACAATGGATTACCAGGACAATGAGCTGTACAGTCTGGTCCATAGTAACCCTCAGAACAGGAAGCCTTGTACGTTAAACTGATACTGAAATAAGAGTAATCCGTTACTTGTTATAATTTTACTTCAATTCACTTACTTGAAGGTAATAAAATGTTTTAAGAAAATTGCTGAGGTATTTGGAGAGAGAGAGAGAGAGAGAGAGAGAGAGAGAGAGAGGACAAGTCGATAAATTAAAATTCAGTTATACAGATTATAGTCTTAAAATCGTCATTCAAGTTTTATATTTACATTTCAGATTTTTTTTACATAAATTTGTGATACAAGCTACTGCAGTTTAAACACCATAACACAGAGAGGGTGTCAAAAGATTTAAGTGTGCGGGGGGAGGGGGTGACAACACAAAGATAAACACAATAGAAGTGCAACATTACAAATGAAGACTTTGCAGGGCTCTTCCATCAATTGTAACTTTAGAAATATAAATCACAATTTGTAGTCAAGTTAAGAAGTTAAAAAATCATAAATACATGTATAAGCAATGAATTATAAGTTTTTGAAAGATATAGTTTTATAATTGTAATAGTTTGATAATTTCCACGGTATGTACAAACAAATTGCGTAACGCTCTAACATGCCTTACGCTATTTTTTATGCATACACCGTTGCAGTTATGAAACTATATCTTTATAAAATACAGATTCAATGCTTAAATATTAGTGATATATTAATACAAAATTTGAATGAATCTGACCTACAAAAAACGTATTTTTATCCGAGAAATAATGTGCTGTATTTCTTCTGTCGCCAGTGTTGTGAGAGTATGCTATCTCCTATTTGTAGATTCTAGTAGAATGTAGTGAGGAGGAGTGTTGTAAATCTTCCACTCGTGCTGATATCTTGTCCTGATAATTCTTCTGAGTCCATGAGATGACAGAGTTATTAAATACATTTGACTAAATAGTTACATGATGTACCACGCTGCTTAGAAAATTAAAGAAAAATCTTATATTCATATTGACAAACAATTTGTATAAAAGAAGATTTACCCATGAATCAACCTCTAAAAACTGCGGGTTTGTCGAATTTCCAACTTTAGAACCATAAATAACGTCTTGTCGCCGCATGTCTAATGTTGTGGTAAAACTGCGATACAGGATTGATGGTTGTCTCTGTTGCAAAAACAATTAGAATCCTTTACTTGTAGAATATACATTTACTGTTATTTAATTCTAAAATTTAAAGCGAAACTTCACTTACTTGAGACATACGGTGAGTACAGGTTTACATAACTCGGTACATTTAGTACCGACCACCCCCCTGACAACACCCTCCTCCGTGAAGTTTATTACCGGGACTCTTAACTTCATCTATGTGGATGGAGAACGTTATCTTTCCCGATACAACATTAAAATCCATGTTCAAAAATGTAATCGTTATTTGGAATATTTACAAAATTCTTATGAATGAGTAGAGATACATTGTCACAAAATGGCTGTTCTGCATCAAATTGAAGGTATAAAAAGATATGTAGCTAGTTTAAAATATTGTAAACCGTAAACTATTCTAGCTAATACTTGCTTAATATAGCTTAATAATTTCGAATAATTTTCATTTGGTTTAGTAAAATTGCATTACTGATATACAAGTTGATATTGGAAAATGTAGAGAGAAAAAAGTCTGGTCTAAGGAACCGTAATGATCACTTTTTTGAATATTCTATTGAATATAGCGCTTTGCTTTCATTAAATTGAAAGTGGCCGAAATATGTTTTAAGTCACCCAGGTAACCTATTGCTATCTGTTTTCGTCCGTCGTTGTGCTTCGCGTTTCGTCCGTCGTTTGTTATTTTTTTTTAACATTTTCACTAATTCTTCTCTAAAACCATTGAATCAATTTTGGCATATAACATATATGGGTAAAGGGGAACACAAATTGTGATTTTCACGGTCCCTGTCCCCCTAAGGCCTAAGGGATGGGACTAAAACCACTAAAATTAATGCAATCTATAAATATCTTATTTACGCTTAAACATAAAACTTTTGGCATTATTGTAATAAGCGTTGAGTCATCTAACAAAATTGTGAAAATCATTGACCTCAGGGGTTCTGATTTATCTTTTGATAAAAAAAAATCTACCCCCTACCTAATAATAAAGGAAGGATATACTATTTTTTATTAAAAAAAATAAGTAACGTCAGGTGCCTGTGTTATGGTGCTAGTACGCCGGAGCTCTGTCTAATACATAATAAAAATGTATTATTTCTTTAAAAATCTTCTCTCTGATGCAGACTGAGTATTAAACCAATAAACTATGTAAAAAAGTTATGATGAGGACGAATACCTCTTTCAAAATTTTAAATTTCATGACCCCTGGGTCAGAGGTTCTGGTGTTAGGGTGGTGCGCAAATGATTATATAGTAAAAATACATTATTTTTTTTGAAAATCTTTTCGTCTACCCCTGTGTATTTTACTGGTAATATTATAAGTATATAGTTAACAAAATCAAGAATCAAGAATCCTTCCAGAATTCTGAATTTCAAAGCCCCTTGGTCAGGGGTACCGAGGGGAGGGGCTGTAATGATTATATTCTAAAAATAAATGAATGCTTTGAAATCTGCTCCTTGAAATTAATCAAACATTTATGTTGAAGACGGGTGTTTGTTTCCACATGTTAAAATGTGTGGCACCATGGTCAAGGGTTTCTATTGGGTAGGGACACTGTAATTATTATCACTGTTTATAATGATTAAACTGGATTATTGATAGGCAATTTAATCTAAGTAAATGATAAGTTCAAATGTTTATTTTGAACTGTCCCTATGAAATAGAATTAAAAAAAAGTACAGATAAAGGACAGTATTTAAACTAATCATTCCGTGTTTATCAAATTTATTTTTGAATGAAAAGTTTTAAATATTAAATTAGATATCTCGTACTTTGTGGAATATAACATAATTTTTGAAGTATCGACCGGTCACATCTGCTTCATACCATATGTATGGTTCATGTAAACGGAACTTTCCTTAGTCAAATTTAGTCTTAAAGCAAAGGCCTCGCAATTGGTATGAAACAAGTAAGCCAAAATATACAACCCAAAGTCAGGTTATATCTGCTAAATGGTCATTATAATATCAACAGAATTTACGAAATGCTGACTCTAAACGAGGTCGTTGAAATCCCTGTAACAGCAACTTATCTGTCAGTAGCCTGTCACGGTTATAAAACCTGAATGTACTATGAGCACGTTCTTGTTTCGTATCAGTTTGGGTATGTATACGCCATATTGGGAAGATAATGGGATGTTGCTCTATATGTAAGGGAATCCGACGATGGAAAAGTTAAAATAGCCACATACAATTTGGATGTACCACATTAGAAGAAAGGAGGGCATATTGCTTTGCTGTTGTCTGTCGATCAGTCCGTCTGTCAGTCCATTTTCAGTTTCCGTTCATTTTTTTAGGGTACAGTGTACCATCAAATTTGAGCGCATGACTTTGGTTTTATCAGCTTGACAAAAAAAATTACAAAACTATATTTTAAATAGTTGGTGCTAGGGCTAATATACTTCACATGTGTATTTATTGTGACAAGGCCTTTTAATAGGTATAACTATTTTTGACCTTTTGACATTGACCGTAGAGATTGATCTACTTTTTAAAAACATTTTCCTGGTCATAACTTGTAATTATTAGGCACAATGGCTTTCATACTTCACAGATGTATTTTTTTGTGAAAGACCTTCCTTTGGATACCTTTTGACCTGGTCATACGGTGGAATCAGTGTTTCACAAATGCATCTTGTTTATAGTATTCTATACACCGGCAAATTAACTACGGAAGACGATCACCCCCGCCGTGTGCTTCCAGTCAAGATCGGAAAATAATGGAGAAGTCCCGTCAGTCAGCAATTGACTCAATGATAAATTGTATTTGCTGACAAGGTAATTATATCGACCATCCAACTTTAAAAAATGATAACTTTAAATGAGACTGCTAATTATCTTGTTTCATCAAATTGTTTGTCAATAGTTTAACTAGTTTTATAAATTGTTCATACGTACAGCATATCTTGTGTATCGAATCAACTGAGAAATATAAACTCCGTATGCAGGTGATGAGGGTCTATTGCTGCATAAGTAAGGGAAGTTGACAATAGTAAAGTTATCACGTTTATCATAAAGCTTGGTTGTTATATTACCATTAACGTCTTTTTCAAGCCCAATATCCAAATATGAAACAGATGTGTCAGGCTCAGCAGGATATATCGTATCGATATGAGAATGGAAATTACAATTGTTAATTGACAATACGTCGTCGATATATCTAAATGTGTAGTTGAAGACCAAAGTAAGTGTTTTCTTCTTTTAACCCAACTGATACCTATGGGTTTAATATTATGATCATAGATCTTTTCTAGAGTTGTAACAAAATGAAATAATCAATTAAACTAAAATGTTTGCATTATAGCTACAAGCCCCTTGTTAGGAGTATCTAATTGTATGCACCACATACATGTACCATATTTGAAAAACAAAATGATGCATTTCTAAATTTATATATAAAAATCGTAAATTGAACAGTAAATGTCTCTGATTATATGGAATGCATCTTTTTATGGTTCGATATACATAAAGTTTAACGAATAACAATGTTTGTAGAGGCCATCAAAATTATGATTAAAGCAAAATTGAAAGCAATATGAAAAAGAATGCGCATTGGAACAAAGCTCCTTCAGTTGTTAAACACATAGCAGCATTCGGACACTGATTTGAATCACAAGAGTGTTCCTTGGAACAGTTAAGCCCGCTACATCCATTGTTGCAAATACAAACGGCCTCGCCTTCCTTAACATGACATGTTCCCTTATTTATACACACATGTCCCTGACACTGGTCTACAATCAATGTTTCACAGTTTTTACCAGTTGTTCCATTCCTACACTGACATAGGTAATCCCTGATCTTGTTCACACACCGTCCTCGGTTATAACAGTGTTGTCCAAAACAGTAATCGGGATTGCTACAGTTCTGTCCCGTGAAATGATCAGGGCATGAACAATTATATCCAGAATCGGTATTAATACAAGATCCAGAGTGTTGGCAGGGAATCGTTGCACAGTGATCAACGATATCACAGAGTTCTCCTATGAAACCTTTGGCACAGTGGCACGTGTAGTTAGCTTCAGATATCAAACATTTTGCGCCATTCTGACACGGGTGGTGGGCGCATGCGTTACGTTTGGAACAATCAGTACCGTTATATCCAATGTTACACGTGCACACGGCCCTTCTTTGATAAACATGGCACTGTCCATGATTATTACACGTGCCATTGTGACACTGGTTTGCAACCAGTGATTCACAGTTCCTACCAGTTGTTCAATTCGCACAGTCACACGTATAACTTCCGTTAGCGTTGACACATTCACCTGTATTACAGTTCTGATGGTAACAATAATCACGCGTCTGACAGTATGTATCCTTAAAACTTGGAGCACATTTACATGTAAAGTTACGGTTACCATTAACACAAGAGGCTCCATTCCGACATTGATGATGAAAACAGTAAGTTTGTTCACAGTCTTTTCCTAAGTATCCAGCTATACATTGACACGTGTAAGAACTATGCTCGTTTTGACAAGCTCCATGGTTAGAACAATGTTTGTTATAACAATAATTCCGGGTTTCACAGTCTTTCCCCATAAATCCACCATTACAGGTACAAGAGTAAGAATTCCCTGTGATGTGACAGGTACCATGGTTAGAGCAGTGCTTATTATAACAGTGATCTACCCTTTCACAGTTTGTCCCGAGATACCCTCCATAACAAAAACAATTATATCCCGTGTTTGTATTAGTGCAATGTCCATGTCTGCATGGATTACTATGACAGTAATCTTTCATCTCACAATCATTTCCAAGAAATCCTTGTTTGCAGCCACAAGTGTATCCACTTTGTCCATTATGACAGATTCCATGACCTCTACATGTCTGCCCATGACAGTAATCACGTGTTTCACAAAGAGTTCCTTTATAACCAGGTTTACACGAACATGTATAATTAAAATTTCCACTATTACAAGTAGCGCCGTTTCGACAAGTGATATTAAAACAATAGTCGTTTTCACACTTTCTGCCCAGGAAACCAGAATTACAACTGCAAGTGTAGTTTTGATGACCGTTATGGCAGGTTCCATGTCCACTACACTTCTGATGGTAGCAGTAGTCACGTGTTTGACAGTACAATCCTATATATCCTGGAGCACATTTACACGTATAGTTAGTGGCTCCATTTACACAAGAGGCTCCATTCAGACATTTATGATGAGAACAGTAAGTTTGTTCACAGTCTTTTCCTAAGTATCCAGCATTACATTGACACGTGTAAGAATTATGCTCGTTTTGACAAGTTCCATGGTTGGAACAATGTTTGTTATAACAATAATTCCTTGTCTGACAGTCTCTACCCAAGAATCCACCATTGCAGGTACAATTGTAAGTATTCTGTCCATTAAGACAGGTACCATGCTTAGAACATTGCTTATTAAAACAGTGATCTACTTTCTCACAGTTCGTTCCGAGATACCCTCCATAACAAAAACAATTATATCCCGTTTTTGTATTATTACAATGTCCATTTCCGCAAGGATTACTATGACAGTAGTTTGTCAATTCACAATTATTTCCTCGATAATCTGGTTGGCAGGTGCAAGTGTATCTACTTTGTTCATTATGACAAATTCCATGACCGCTACATCTCTGTCCGTGGCAGTAATCACGTGTATCACAAAGAGTTCCTTTATAACCAGGTTTACACGAACATGTATAATTAGAATTTCCACTGTGACAAGTTGCACCATTTTCACAAGTGTTATTGAAACAATAGTCGTATTCACAGTTACTTCCTAGAAAACCTGGTTCACAATTACAGGTATAGTTTTGTTGATCGTTCTGGCAGGTTCCATGTCCACTACATGTTTGATGATAACAATGATCACGTGTTTGACAGTACGATCCTATATAACCTGGAACACATTTACAGGTATAGTTAGAATCACCGTTAACACAAGAGGCTCCATTCAGACATTGATGATGAAAACAGTAAGTGTGGTCACAGTCTTTTCCTTGGTATCCAGCATTACATTGACACGTGTAAGAACTACGCTCGTTTTGACAAGTTCCAGGGTTAGAACAATGTTGGTTATAACAGTAATTCCTTGTCTGACAGTCTTTACCTATGAATCCAACATTACAGGTACAAGAGTAAGAATTCCCTGTGACGTGACAGGTACCACGATTAGAACAGTGCTTATTATAACTGTAGTCTATTAAATCACAGTTCGTTCCTAGATACCCTCCATATCAAGAACACTTATATCCCGTGTTTGTATTATTGCAATAACCATGTTTGCATGGATTACTATGACAGTAATTTCTCAGTTCACAATAATTTCCTCGATAATATGGTTGGCAGGAACAAGTATATCCACTTCGTCCATTTTGACATGTTCCATGACCACTACATCTCTGTCCGTGGCAGTAATCACGTGTTTCACAATGAGTTCATTTATAACCAGGTTTACACGAACATGTGTAATTAGAATTTCCACTGTGACAAGTTGCACCATTTTCACAAGTGTTATTGAAACAATAGTCGTATTCACAGTTACTTCCTAGAAAACCTGGTTCACAATTACAGGTATAGTTTTGCTGATCGTTCTGGCAGGTTCCATGTCCACTACATGTTTGATGATAACAATGATCACGTGTTTGACAGTACGATCCTATATAACCTGGAACACATTTACAGGTATAGTTAGAATCACCGTTAACACAAGAGGCTCCATTCAGACATTGATGATGAAAACAGTAAGTGTGGTCACAGTCTTTTCCTTGGTATCCAGCATTACATTGACACGTGTAAGAACTACGCTCGTTTTGACAAGTTCCATGGTTAGAACAATGTTGGTTATAACAGTAATTCCTTGTCTGACAGTCTTTACCTATGAATCCAACATTACAGGTACAAGAGTAAGAATTCCCTGTGACGTGACAGGTACCACGATTAGAACAGTGCTTATTATAACAGTAGTCTATTAAATCACAGTTCGTTCCTAGATACCCTCCATCACAAATACAATTATACCCCGTGTTTGTATTGGTACAATTTCCATGTCTGCATGGATTACCATAACAGTAATTTTTCAGTTCACAATTTTTTCCTTGATAATTTGGTTGGCAGGCACAAGTGTATCCACTTCGTTTATTATGACAAGCTCCATGACCGCTACATATCTGTCCACGACAGTAATCACGTGTTTCACAATGAGTTCCTATATAACCAGGTTTACACGAACATGCATAGGAAGATTTTCCACTATGACAAGTTGCATCATTTTTACAAGTATTATTAAAGCAATAATCATTTTCACAGTCACTTCCTAAGAAACCAGGCTTACAGACACAAGTGTAACCAACATGCCCGTTCTGACAGTGTCCATGTCCGTTACAGTTCTTTCCGTTACAGTAATCAATTTGGTCACAATTTGTTCCGCTATTGCAAGAACAAGTATAACCGAAGTTTGAATTTGAACAATTTCCATATTTACAAGGCTTGTTATAACAATAATTATTTAGCTCACAATTCTTACCAAGATACTGCGACCTACACTGACACGAATAATCATTTGGTCCATTTTGACATTGTCCACGATTATTACAGTTTCTTCCAAAACAAAAATCGTACATGCTACAGTTCTGTCCCATGAAATGATCTGTGCATGAACAATTATATCCAGACACAGTATTTGTGCACGTTCCTGAATTTTTGCACGGATCAATTGAACAATAATTAATTTTATCACACAGGTCCCCCATGAAGCCTTTGTCACAATGACACGTGTAGTTAGTTCCAGTAATCACACATGTAGCACCATTTTGACACTGATTATAAGCACACGAATTTCTTATGGAACAGTCCAGACCGGTATATTCATTATTGCACGTACATACAGCCTTACTATGCAAAAAATGACATTGTCCGTGATTTTTACACGTATCACCATGACATTGGTGAGCAGTCAATGATTCACAGTTTTTACCTGTGGTTCCAGTTCTACACTGACACGTGTAACTCCCTATTTTGTTGACACACTCTCCTCCATTACAGGGTTCCAGGAGACATTCATCCTCATCAAGCTGACATTTTAGACCGGTAACGGACGAAGGACCGGCACAATGGAAACTACCAGCTGTGTTTGTACAGTTACCGTGTCCACAAAACTGTCGATTAGCACATTCATCGATGTCCTGATCACAGTTTTGTCCATGCCATCCTACAAAATATATAGTCAAATAAAAAGTTTCGGAATTGGCATTTATGAACTCCCTGATCGCTGAAATCATTTAATCATTTAGCCATTTCAAGTCTGTAGCTTCATTTATAAGGAGGGGGAGCTCCAAAAACATTTGACAAGCAAAAAAAAAAAACAAAACAAAACAAAACAAAACAAAACAAAAAAAAAACAAAAAAAAAACACACACACACACAAACAAACAAACAAAAACAAAACAAAAAAAAACCTATGCACCACACTTTAAAATTAGGAGGGGTAGAGGGGGCTTTGTGTCACTTTTCTGTTTTTTTATTTTTTAAATGATTAGACGTAGAAATATCTATATTACAGAAAAGCTATTCTCTCTCTCTGTACAAAAATAAAGGGGGGTTCAAACCCCCGGAACCCCCCTCTGGTCTGCCAATGCTTTGATATAATATGGATCAATTTTCATTTATCATAAGTTAATTAAAAGGAATCAATATCGGATAAAATACACACCTGAACATCTGCATATATTTATATTATAGTGGACATGGAACACCAAAAATGACAAATAATTTTTCATTTTCGTCCGTACCTTTCGTCAGTTACACAGGTAATCACAAAGTAAACAAGTTTACCGTTCGTAAAACAGATATCCGTTCGTTACGTGTTTGGTGTTCTCTATTTGGCGTAAACGTTGCTATTCATTCAACGATTGGTCAGTTGCTTGTGGTAAGATCCTCTGTGAGCATTACTAACAATAGCCATATAAGGCAAACAAAGGTTTGTCAGTGTAGATGATATTACACAATTTTTTTTACCAGGGTATCAATCGCTAGTGAGCTCTAATTTTCGCCGTAAATTATGTTAAGATATATTGTTGTTTACCCCTCCCCCACCCCCTTTAGCCACACTTTAATGTTGAAAATTATGAAAGTCTTTCAGAAAAGTCTGGAAACACATTTTTACAGGACATGTTTTCAAAAGAATTAGTCAATTTCCTTTTTACTGCCAATTTTATTTATAAAACCCATGCTACCCGATAACTTTTGAATAGGTCATCATAAACCACGTGCCTTGAATTTAAATCACAATAACAATAGTAGGGGTGTAGGTCATTATTTACCGTACACAAAAGATTTTACATAAACCAATGTGTCCGCGAACCTTCCATTACAACCCTCGTATATGTTATCAAGATTCCCCATTCTCAAATAATAAAATTTAAATCTTTATAACCTAATAATATCCGTACATTCGTTACTGATATTTATTCGTTTTTTTTAATTTAAGTTTGCAATTAAAAGATTATGCTATTTATTTGACTCGTAGACTTTGATAGTGTAACAATTGCTGCAGAGGATTAGAAATGTGAGTGCCAGAGAACAGAGGCTACATGTACAAATTTATTCATATACTCGGCATTCAGGGTTATTGCGCGGCTTGTGCTGTAACAGGTCGAGGAAACTTCCTATATGGATATTGTTGTCATTGCGCACTAAGGTGCTCACAACAAAGAATGGTCCAATCCAGTGAATGAGCCGAAAAGCATGATGGTCTACTACATGTTTATTTTTACTACAAACACATGGGTTAGGGAAATTTAAGACGCAATTTCAAATGACTTCAAAAAAGTCAACTAACAATTTTTTGAAACGTGTTTGTGAAAAATACAAAGAATAGGTACTAATTAAGATGTCCCATGCTTACATTAACAAACAAAGTAAGTTTTCCTTGTTAAATAGTACTTTTAAATACCACTCACAAAATCTTTACAAATAAATGACTCCAGTTTTTCAACTCGATAGTCGTAAATTTGCCATGTGACTGGTTATGTTAATAATTGCTCAGTTATTTGTAGATTTTCAAAGTTAATGCATTCATATAAAGTATTTAAAAGTTGCACGTTTTTTTTTTGTTGTTTACCTATATACTAGTATTAATTCTCATGTGCATTGATCATAGAACTTGTACTGAGTAAAGCATATATGTTTCGAAGTTGTATACGTTGTAAACAGTAACAATACGTGAGCACACCTCAGAGTTGATTGTTCTTGCACCGAGGAATAGTCACGTGAAATTGACTTTTCACTGACAATACAGCATGGGGAAAGCTGTCAACAAACGGACTTGTACAACGGAGTGGGGATTCCGGAAAACCGTAATTTTTATCATTGTTAATAATTTGTATGTAAATGTGAGCATGGGATTAGTAGATAATAATGTACATATTGTATTAATTGTGTAAAATGCTTGGAAAAATGCACCACATATTTCCGAGAGCGATTTAAAAAATTGACCTTTTCGAAACACACATGTAGTATTTTTTGTAGTAACCCATAATGCAACTCATTGAGCTGACTGGTCGATTTGACAGTCACGTTGGTTCCTTACTTAACGTAAATTTATTTCGACGTCACAGAAAATACTTTCCTCGACCTGTGTAAGGAACCTCATTTTTTACTGTCTCATCCCACAGAGATTGGAACCCACGAATCAGCTCCTTTCTGTTGAAAGAGCCGCCGTTCTTACAAGGACACCTTGTTGGTGACCATGCATTTTAAAGCAATATGAGCTGCATTTTTGAGAATTTTATTTTGCTGGTTAAATGTGTTATTATGATTAATCTGTAGTAATCTAAACTCTTATGATCAATAAGACCAATATGATGTTTTAAAATGTTTCAGAAGAAATATTTCTGTACAACCGAATATACAGTATTATATAAGAAATCATTATTGTACAGGACGACAATAATTCAATTTTGCTTCAATCAAAGCTTATAAAATTCTTCATAGCAAATATGAATGACAGAAGTTTATAAATGTTCTATTTTTCTGTCATTGAAATAGTTAATCAAAAATTTGCGACATTTTTTTTCTGATGTCAAACATGCAACTCATATTGCTTTAATGGGGCCGACTGGGATTTTATTGTGTGAATACTACACTAGAGAAACTGATTATTTTTATACCATATATAACTTACATTGACATTAGTATTCATGCCAAGTTTGGGGAAAATCTACCCCCAGGTATTTTTAAGGGATCGTCTCAAAATACAGGTACATTTACTATAGGATTTTATGGGAAAGTGCCCTTAAATTGAAACTGAGCGAAAGAGTGAATAGGAATCGAAAGATATTTTCAGTTTAAGGAAAGTACTGTAAACATATTACATTTAGCGGTGTATTCTTTTAAGCGTTTTGGCGGAAAGAAACTTCCGCTAATTCAAGTTCAACGCTAAATGTCTTAAAGGTGCATGGACACAGATTTGAAGTTAATATTTTCTGTATGATATTACGACTTATATATTTTAATATCATTTCACGCAAAAATAAATTAAAAATCTTATTTCATCTAAAAGTTATTAAAACTTCAATTTTTTAGACGGGCTTAATTGACACATCCTTGCACTTTCACAAATTTTAATTTTATTCTTAATACTTAGGAAAAGTGGCAATCTTGTTGTGTATACGTGACAAATATTATTATATAACCCAGAAAATTCAGAGTAGATATGTTCGAAAGCAAAACATACACACAATATATTGTCAGTCTGTGCAGTTGTGGTGAGCAGACTTTAACGATTGAACGCACCCGGTGAATCATAAACATCAACAAACAGAGCTCGTGCTCTGTTTACAAAATCTGTGTACATAACACGGGTGTGATCAATTTGCTAAACTTTGTACACAACACTTAGCTCAGAATGACGATACTTGTGAAGGAGTTTTGCTTTCTAACATTTCTACTCTGAATATAATAATTTTTTTCTGGATTAAAGTTTTAAATATTTTTCATCAATACACAACATGATCGCCACTTTTCCTAAGTATTAAGAATAAAAGTAAAATTTGTGAGAGTGCAAGGATATGTAAATCAAACCCATCCAAAAATTTGAAGTCTCAATAACGTTTAAATGAAATAAGTTTTTAAATTCATTTTTGTGCAAATGCTATTAAAATATTTAAGTCGTGATATTATACAGAAAAAATTAACTTCAAATCTGTGTCCATGCACCTTTAAACATATATATATACATTCATAAAAACATTAAAAAATGCGCAAAATCAAATCTACGCTAACTTGTTCAAAAATCAATTTCCGCCAAATATCATACACGCTAAATATAATACATTTACAGTATTTAGGAAGGAGTGAAAGAGGAAAACAATGTGACAGTGAAACATATAGGAATTTAGTTTGTAAAAAGTTAGTTATAAAATGGATCTATTAATACAAAACAAATGACAATCATTTTCAGACGGACAAGACCTAAAAAAGACAAAACTTTTCAAAAGATAAAATGTACACATTGAACGTGAATATATAATCACACGTTAAGCTTGGCATACGCTTGGCATACATGTAATGGTGGCTTATAGGCCCTTAACGAAGGCTTAATGGTTGTCTTTAAGTCACCATTAAGCACCGTTAAGCTACCTTTATGTAATAATTACATCACCATTAGGTTACCTTTAACCCGTTCCAAAGTCCTTACTGGTTTCTCACATGTAGCTTAATGTGACCATTAAGCCTAACTTATAAATGCTTAATGTCCAAACTTCATTAAGCTACCATTCTGCCACCATTAAATTAACATTGTGTAGTCGATAAAACAGTTTTTCTAGGTGAAAAATTATTTTTTTAATGATTTATTCTCACAAATCATAAATGTCGAGTTTGCAACTTTGCACACAATTTGGCAAAAATAATGTAAAAGAAAGACGCCCCCCTAAAAAAAAATGAGCAAGACAGGATTCAAAACAACTACCTTTAGAACAAGGGGTGATCGCTTTAACGTCTTGTAGTATCCGGAATTATGATGTCCTATTATGATTCTATTATTAGTTTATGTACCGGAAGTGTACAGTGAATAAATTAGTGTAAACAACACATGGTTGTCTTGTCTGGAAAGTATCTGGAAAGCATCGGTCATCCTCACTAATCTATAAGCATAGATACAACAACTGGCGACGAGGATGGACATTACGTTCCCAATATTTCCGCAAT